ATCCATTTGTTAATTTTTCATACACCAAACTAAATTTATCATTCTTCTGACATGTGTATGTTATTTATATATGTTCTATTATTTTAGTTAAAAAGAACTGATGAAGAAATAAATTTCACGTGACAAAATATGATCACGGTATTCAGATAGTTAACTATTAAATTATCGAAAACTATTTTACGAAACCCCTGATTGAGACCCATGATATTATTTATAAGAAAACTAAAGGTAGGTTGAAATTGAGGACCATGATTGAGACCCTTATTGAAGAATTTACCTCAAAATTAAATGAAAATACAACTGATTAGATAGGTGGAAACTGGTTTTGAGAAGAGAAAGTGATGTAGGACCATTTGGGCCATAACATATTGGGTCTCATCGCATTGGGCCTCAACACACTAGCCTACAAAAAAGACGCAAATTTGAAAGAGTTGCACTTAAGGTTCAAGTCTTGATTACAATAAAAAAATAATCTATCATTTTAGCTTCTCAAATTTTAGAAAGAAACTGGTTCTTTAAAAAAATCCATTTGTTATTTTTTCATACACCAAACTAAATTTATTATTCTTCCGGCATGTGTATGTTATTTATATATGTTTTATTATTTGAGTAAAAGAGAAGTGACGAAGAAATAAATTTCACATGACAAAATGTGATCACGGTATTCAGATAGTTTAACTATTAAATTATCGAAACCTATTTTATGCGACCCCAGATTGAGACCCATGATGTTACTATTATTTGTGTGATTGAACTGAGGAGGAATTTACCTCAAAATTAAATGAAAACACAACTGCTTAGATAGGTGGAAACTGGTTTTGAGAAGAGAAAGTGATGGAGGACCATCTGGGCCATAATATACTGGGTCTCATCACATTAGGCCTCAACACAGTAGGCTTCAAATAAGGCCCAAATTTGAAGGGGTTGCACTTAAGGTTCAAGTCTTGATTACAATAAAAAGGAATATATCATTTTAGTTTCTCAAATTTCAGAAAAAAAACTGGTTCTTTAAAAAAATCCATTTGTTATTTTGTCATATACACCAAACTAAATTTATTATTCTTCCGACATGTGTATGTTATTTATATATGTTCTATTATTTGGGTAAAAGAGAACTAACGAAAAAATAAATTTCATGTGACAAAATGTGATCACAGTATTCAGATAGTTTAACTATTAAATTATTGAAACTTATTTTACACAACCCCTGATTGAGACCCATGACGTGACTATTATTTGTGTGATTGAACTGAGGAGAAATTTACCTCAAAATTAAATGAAAACACAACTACTTTGGTAAGTGGAAACTGTTTTTGAGAAGAGAAAGTGATGGAGGACCATTTGGGTCATACACATATTAGGTCTCATCACATTAGGCCTCAACACACTAGGCTTCAAATAAGACCCAAATTTGAAGGGGTTGCACTTAAGGTTCAAGTCTTGATTACAATAAAATAGAAATATATCATTTTAGCTTCTCAAATTTTAGAAAGAAACTGGTTCTTTTAAAAATTCCATTTGTTATTTTGTCATACATTAAACTAAATTTATTATTCTTCCTGCATGTGTGTGTTATTTATATATGTTCTATTATTTGAGTAAAAGAGAACTGACGAAGAAATAAATTTCACGTGACGAAATGTGATCACACTATTCAGATAGTTTAACTATTAAATTATCCAAACCTATTTTACGCAATCCCTAATTGAGACCCATGATGTGACTATTATTTGTGTGATTGAACTAAGGAGGAATTTACCTGAAAATTAAATGAAAACACAACTACTTAGGTAGGTGAAAACTGGTTTTGAGAAGAGAAAGTGACTGAGGACCATCTGGGCCATAACATATTGGGTCTCAACACACTAGGCTTCAAATAATGCCCAAATTTGAAGGGATTGTACTTAAGGTTCAAGTATTGATTATAATAAAAAATGAATATATGATTTTAGCTTCTCAAATTCGTCTGAAGCACTTCAAACATTCAAGAAAGTCCAAGGTTCAACTCTTAATTTAACTATTAAATTATCGAAACCTATTTTACGCAATCTCTGATTGAGACCCATGATGTGACTATTATTTGTGTGATTGAACTGAGGAGGAATTTACCTCAAAATTAAATGAAAACACAACTACTTAGGTAGGTGGAAACTGATTTTGAGAAGAGAAAGTTATGGAGAACCATCTGGGTCATAACATATTGGGCCTCAACACACTAGACTTCAAATAAGGCCCAAATTTGAAGGAGTTGCACTTAAGGTTCAAGTATTGATTATAATTAAAAGGAATATATCATTTTAACTTCTCAAGTTTGTCTAAAGTACTTCAAACACTCAAGAAAGTCCAAGGTTCAACTCTTGGTTGCAACATTTGAGAGTTTTTTGGTATATAAACTCATAAATGTAACTAAAAGTGGTTTAGGTGAGACTTGAAGTTAGGAAATTCGGCCATAACTTGTATAAGGTAAAATTAGGCCCACGTTTCTTAGGTGTATGAGAGGGGAATAAATATATATATATATATATATATATATATATATATATATATATATATATATATATATATATATATATATATAACTCATTGTGTAACATTTTGAATCACATTTGGAATGAAGTTAAAATTTGTGTGTGAAACTTGCATATTTTGCTTGTACCTTGAATTGACTTTTCAAGTGTCATTGGAAATTTCTTTCTCCTAACAATGAACCTTTCTTGGAAGAGTTAGTATAAAGTTTCTAATAAACTTGGAAAAGAATTTTGGTTCGCCTTTGGTGCTAAGGTATGAGGCTTTTGGCATCATTCATAATGGAAGGAGGGAGAAATAATATTTTTTATTTTAATATTAATTTTTAAAAAAATATTTTCTCAAATTTTAATATAATATTTTTAATAAAAAGAACAAGTCAGATGGAGTTCACATAAAAAGAAAAATAATAATAAAAAGATTAAAGAATCATTATATATAAATATAAAAAACAAGTCTAGTAAAATAAATAAAATAATAAATATTATTTAATATATATATATATATATAATAAAATTAGAAATCATATAATAATTGTTTTTATTATTTGTTGTCACATTTTATATATATATATATATATATATATATATATATATATATATATATATATATATATATATATATATTACCGAGTAGCAAGAATATTCGTATATAAATACGATTTATAATTGACTTTATATCATATTTATTTTCATAAAAGATAATAATAACATAATAAAAAATAAAAATAGTAGTTAATGATGAGAAATAGATAGTTACTAGAATTATTAAATGATATGAAACTAAAATATATTTCTTTATTATAATTTAGTTGACTATGATATTTGTATATTTAGATTATTAATATGTAATGTATGATATATGAGATATAAATGGTGTAATCATGGTAAGTAAGATTTAAAATGTTATAAGATGAGTTTGGTGGTGATATAATAAGTACTTAATATGAATTATGCATAATGAGATACATGTATTTTTAAAAGTATCTTGGAAAAGTTTTGATAGAATTTTCATAAAATTCTAGTATAAGAGGTGTTAATTGGTGGATAAAAACTCTGAATATCTAAATTCCAACACAAATTTAAAACATTTTATAAGTTTATTTTAATGCATCCACTCAAATTCAAATCCATATTTTAAATTAAATTTTAATTTAATAAATAATTTGACTAGGATAAGATATGAATTGAATTTTAAAATTCAAAATCCAAGTAATGTTTGGTTAATTGGTTAAACAAGATTAGGTTTATTTGGATAGGTGAAACTAAGCTCAATAGGGTAAAGTTGATTGAGTGAAGTCAATTTAGGTCAATTACTTTATTTATAAAATTGTCACATTGTAATTTATTATAGCGAGCGACCTCAAGTGCGTGTGTTTCGGGTACGAATGATATATATTTTTTTAAAAGAGACATGTACGTGATCATTCCAATCACATATCTGCCAACAACTAAAAGAATCACGAATTTAAAACTTAGTGTCCAATACCTCACTTATAGAAAACAGAAAAAATAGATTAGTTAAAACATTGTATCCGATTAATTATTAAATTTGAAATTCCCAAGCATATGGAACCTGGATTTCCTCTTTCGACTCTTTCATTTCCATTTCCAAACTTATAGAAAATGAATTTACTTTTTATATATTTATTTTAAAAAAAATCCTTTGCACATTAAAACTATAGTTGAAAATTTTAAATTTTATAAATACTTGAAGATTTTATTTATCACCAATTTCATCTTTAAGAAGATTTTTCTCCGTATCTTCTCATTTACAAAAGAATTCTTATGTTTTAATATAATTAGAGTTAACTCGTCTTAAAAGCGAGATCTGAATATTTTAATTTTTTTCTCACATAATTCTTTTAAATGAAAATAAAAGGTATAATTTTGTTCCGTAAAAAACTACATTCAAAGGAAATGAAAATTTCTCACATAAATCATAATTGATACTTCTTTCCAGTCCTATATAAGTTTCTATTATTTTCTTGCCTCTCTTTCAAGTGGTAAAAACAGATATGAAAATCATACATATAAACTGAATTTTGCATTTCAATAATCAAGGAAATTGAGTTATCCATCATCACTTTCGTGCAATTTGACTTGACTGTCGTTCTTCTCCTGTTCTTTGAGAAATTGAACAAGTGCTTCCAAACCAAGGTCAGGATCCTCATTTCCGATCAGATGCTCTGCAGCTACTGTAGGGGTGACTTGTGTTTTGTCCAACAATCCTTGGATCTCTTAAAACAGTGGATGATGGATGGATGGATGTCCATTCAAAGTTCTGACATTTGTTAGATTGTGGACTGGATGGATGTCCTGATATCCAGAGTCCTCGTAGGAGAGTATACTAGTTCTCACTAAAGACATCTTAAAACACATCAAAATCAATAAACCTTATACTTGAACTATAACCACCAAATTCCAACCTATTATTGACTATTTGATTGACAATATTATATAACATTGCTGAGTCTAGATCCTAGGAGAAAGATGAACCTGCAATGCATTTTTCATCACCACAGTGAACTCTTGTCTCTCTGACAAATCTACATCCCCTCCCACTGGAACCTTCCACTCAAAATTCCAAACCAAATTAGCCACAAAGTACTCCAAATGAAGCAAGGCCAGATTATAGGCAGGGCAAATCCTCCTTCCCGCTCCAAAGGGCATCATCTTGATCTCCTTACTTCCAGTAATATCAAAGCCCTCATCTTTCATAAACCTCTCTGGCTTAAACGCCATGGGATCCTCCCAAACCTTAGAGTCCCACCCCATCTCTGCCACCATGAAATTCACAGTCGCATTCTTTGGGATCAAGTAATCGTTAAAAATCGCGTCCTCAGTCACTGCATGCGGCAACACAAAGTGCCCAGGTGGGTGTCGCCTTAAACCTTCCAAAATCACAGCTTTCAGATAAGGCAGTTTCGGCAAGTCCTCCTCTTTCACTTCCCTCTCTTCTCTCTCACCCAATACCTCCCTTATCTCATCCACCACTCGCTCTTGCACGTGCGGGTACTTCACCAAATTCGCCATGATCCACTGCAACGCAGTGGAAGTCGTATCCGTACCCGCGTTTAAAAATTCACTACACAGCGTCACAACTTCCTCTTGGTTGAGGTTGCGTTTCTCCTCAGGCAACTGCAAATCCAACAAAGTATCAACATACGAAACAACACCTTCTTCCGTGGCTTGATTTTGCTTCCTGGCTCTTATAAGCGGAATCAAAACATCCTCTCGCTCCTTTCGAATCCTCAGCAATTCCTCCCAGAGGTTGCGGAACAAAACGCGCGTGACTCTAGGCCAGATGTTGAGGATGTTGAAGCTTGTCACACGCAGAAGCATCTGTCGCTGTACGCGCTCGATGTCTCTGACTTTGCCATCATCGAGCAGTTCCCCGAAGCACATGAAGACCAGCAAGCAGAACATGGCGTATTGGAAGTGGTCGATGACTCTGACAGAATTGTTGGATTGCGAATGGGATTTGAGGTGAGTGAGGAGGGTGTGGAGGACCCAGTTGCGAATCCCGGAGAAGGACTTGACGCGGGAGTGGTGGAGCATCTCGGAGGTGAGGTTACGGCGGAGGGTGCGCCACGTGGCGCCGTAAAAGGCGGAGCTAATGTTGTGTTGGTCGCTGGTTATGATTTTGGCGGCGGCAAGGGCCTTAGGGCGATCGGAGAATAGAGAACCATTTTGGACTAGGGCTTGGTGTGCGAGATAGCGGTCGCGTATGAAGACGACGGGGCTAGTACCAATGTGGAGAGTGAGAATGGGACCGTATTTGTCGTGGAGGGTTCTGAGTATTGATTCGATTTGAAAGGATTTTGTGAGCCATAGGATGTTAGAAATGATTGGGATGTGTAAAGGGCCGGGAGGGGTGGCGGTGGTGGTTTTGGTGTGAAGGGAGAAGAAGATGCGTCGTATGAGGACGCAGACAGATAGAGAGAGTAAGAGGAAGAACCAAGGTTCCATGAAAAAACGGGTGTTTCTCCGCGAAGGATGTTGTTGTCGGTGTTGACGATAAGGCAAAGAAAAATAGAAATTAACGAGAACTTTCTAAAAATAAATATGCATAAATCATTTCTCTAGATCAGCCCCACCAGCCAGAAGACGGATGGAGCATGGATACCTTACTAGACAAAGGATGACGCATGCATGCTCTCACCGATTAAGTATATCAACGGATCATACAGTATATTATTTTTTTGTTCATTCATATTTAAATTCTTTTTTCAGAATACAACTTCAATCTCTACAAAAATATAATTACTTTTTATTGAGAAATTATTATATAGTGAGACACTGTTACGTGTTAATACTTTGAAATTACACTTAATAAAGGCAAACTTTTACCAGAAAAAAATAAAAAAAGACAAACACATTTCCAATGCAAAATTTTGAAAGAGTTTTTTTACTTTTTAAAAATGGTGAAATAAAGATCATAATACTATCTTATAATTAAGTCATTTTCATTTTATTTTATTTTAATAATAAGAATTTTAAGTAATTTTTAATAATTTATTATTTTATATATTTTTTATTTAATATTTTCTATAAAAAGCAACTATATATATTAAATAATTAATTACTTTAATTAATAATATACTACAATATTTTAATATAAAAATAATATAAAATACATAAACAATTAATTACTTTAATTAATAATATACTACAATATTTTAATATAAAAATAATATAAAATACATAATATTTAAATAACATAGTAAAATTAAATAATATTTTTAATATAAAAATAATATAAAATACATAATATTTAAATAACATAGTAAAATTAAATAATATTAGAAATACAATACATAAAATTAATTATTATTATTTTTTTCTAAATTTTTATCATATATTCTACCAAATATGTTTCAAGTTAGTGGTGAGTATTTCTATCGTAAACCATAACTCTCCTTTAAAAGTTTGTAAATCTAAAACTAGGATGAGGACTTGAAGATATATCAACAATTTACATGTCATTTTTCTTAATATCATAATCAATATGATTTTGATAAGTGTGTTATTCGTTCTCAATAATCATACTCTGTAATATGATGATACATGCATAAATTATATTATTCAATGTAGGAGCATCCCAAAAACATATTTGACCACATATAATTACAAATCGAGATTGAAGGACTTTAAATGCACATTCAACATCATTTCTCGCTGACTCTTGTCGTTCAGCATATAATTTTCTCTTTTGTTTTTGTGCCATTAAAAAATAGTTTTCACAAATGTGATAAAATCTGGATAAATATCATCTAAGTAATAATATCATATTGTGTTTCATTTACACTGTAGTGTACCGTAAGTACAAAATTTGACATAACTTCATTAAACACATTAGATACATTTAACACAGTAATATCATTATTTGACCCAGTAGTACCAAAAAATGCATGTCAAATCCACAAGTCCTATGATGCTACAACTTATGAACATCTCGACAAAATTGATTTTTCCATTCCCACTGCACGCAATCAATTGATCCTAACATATCTGAAAAACCACGTGTAACTCCCATTTGTAGTAGTCGATCAATGTTTTCGTTGTTAGGCCTCCTTAAATACTCAATTCCAAATACTACACAAATGCTTGATATAAATCGTTGTAAGCATTCTACTATAGTAATTTCACCAATACGAATATATTCATCCACACTATCAGCAAGTGAGTCATAAGCCAATATGCAAATAGAAGCAGTGCACTTTTGAAAAGGTGATAGGAATTTTCTTTGTGTTACATCTAACCTTAGTGTAAAGTAATCATTGTGATTGTCAAGGGCTTCCACAATTTTGACAAAAACCTTTCTTCTCATACAGAACCTTCTTCAAAATTGAGATTCTGTATATACTAGATTTTTAACAAAATAGTCATTGAACAATTGATGATGACCTTCTTCACGATTTCGATGAACTACCTTTCTTCTTTGTATGTCACCACTATTATTGTGAACTTGTTGTCAGTGCTCAAGTGTAACCTAATGATTTCTTCATCATGGTTATCTTCGAGTTCTCCATTTATGACTTGTTGTCAGTACTCAAGTGTAACCTAATGATTTCTTCATCATGGTTTTATGACTTGATCCAACAATGCATCTAAATCAATGTTTTTAAATTCCATGTATGAATAATTAAAGTGTTTGAAAGTTGAGAATAATATTGTAATATTATAAGATGTGAGACATTACATGACATTCCAAAACTATACATAAATTCATAATGGCTAGTTTTACAACGACTAGTTTTTATAACGGCTAGTTTTATAACGACTAATTTTCATAATGACTAATTTTCATTTGTGCATGACTAATACATTTTAATTGACTCACTGACTTCTTTATGAAAATACTATGTTCGTCATCATTGTTGTATGCTTCTTGGATCCGCTCCTAATATTGGGTTAATCACTGATCAACTCCAACAATTGGATCCTTCGACACATTCAACCATGATAAAATAAGAATCAAATCTTCTAGTATTGAGAATGGTACACGAGATTTCCTTTAAGACATATTTTCACTGCTTCCATCAAGTTGGATATTATCGAGTCCAATCAGGGAAGGATGTTCTATGTTGGATGAAGGAGGAATGTTACTTATATTTGATGTCATTGGAGGTGGTGGAAACACAAAAAGTGGTGGTGGATAAATATATTTTTGATAATTTTCACCAGTAAGAGATGAATGCTTTTGTAATAAATTGTAACAATATTGATAATTAAATTGATTAGGATTCGTAATTGGAGAAGAAGAAAAATGAAGGAAATGTGAATTATTTTTACCATTGATGGAGAATTTAGAATGTAAAAATAAGGCAAAGCAAAGCTTTAATGGTAACACTACAAGAATTTTACATATTAGCTATGACACATTCCGTAGATATTTTATAGCTAATCTCTCACTGGTACGTTTTGCTACAGATTAGCTACGGAATAACTATGGAATAGTCTGTCGCTAAATCCAAGTAGCTAATTAAATAGAGATGTATTCTCTCTCAATTTTGTAGCAAATTTTGTTGTTAATCTATCGCTAAGTCTCTCACTAATTTTAAGTGATGAAATTTTGTCTTTCTCTAGCTAATTGATCTCCCAAATATTTAGTTAACTTGTAGTTAATCTCTCGCAATTTTTCTCTCGCTAATCTGTAGCTAATCCCTCACAATTTCGCTCTCGCTAATTCGTAGCTAATCCTTCACAATTTTTCTATCGCTAATCTGTAGCTAATCCCTGATAATTTATCTCTAGCTGATCTGTAGTTAATCCCTCACAATTTTGCTATCTCTAATTCGTAGCTAATTCGTCGCTATTTTTCTATAGCTAATCTGTAGCTAATCTTTCACAATTGTTTCCTTGTTAATCTGTAACTAATATGTAGCAATTGTTTCCTTGTTAATCAGTAACTAATCCTTCGCAATGTTTCTTTCGCTATTTCGTAGTTAATCCCTCACAATTATTATCAAAATTCTTTTCTCGCTAATCTGTAGTTAATCTCTTGTAATTTTATTTACAGATAATTTACTAATTATTATTATTGGCACAGTAGATATTCCTGCTAAAATATCATTGTACCATTATAATATCAAATATTTATTGTATCTGTGTAGCAATTATACCTCTGAATCATGCTAACTGTTTTGTGTGGTTTGTACTCAACAAATAATAAACCAGACAGATAACAATTGAAAAGTCATACATGCTTAGTAATAATATTTTTGGTAATTGCAATATCACATAATTAGTAAGCCTGTTATTGATTGCACTTTTCTTCTTGATTTCCACACTATGCCTAAATGACAAACTCAACTATATGTCAATTTTTATTAATAAAAATAATAAAAATACAGTGATTGGATGCACAAGCCAATGGGGTAAATTAAGGAGTACAAACTGAAATGAGATGGATTAAAGAAAGCAAATCATTAATTTCCCCATAAATATTTAAAAATGAATATCTAAGGAACTGATTGAAAGTAACACATAAAGTGATGTTCTTTTTTCTTGAAACATTATTACTTTATTTTTTAACCATTTATGTAAATTATATGATAAGATTCATAAAATAAGTGAATTTCTTTTTGGTCATACTTACTTCTAATACAATAGAAACTTTTGAACATCAATGTTATTAGGATAAACCCTAAAAAATCACACCTCAATCCCAATGATGATGTAATCCATAACATATGACTCTTGTTCATAAACCTCCAAAGTAGTAAAATCAGGATTTACTAAAAAAAAAAAGAAATATAAAACACTTACATAATATAATTTAAATATCTGGTACACAAAGATTACATGTAAACACACTCATTCAAATAACTTCAAAATTTCAAACTCAAGACCAAAAGCAAAAGCAAAAAATCTAAATCATTATTACAACAATAAATTCAAGCTAAAACCATAATAATCATCTTCATTTACATCAGGTCCTTTCACCTGCAAAACAAAAGAAGAATGGGCAGTAAGAAACAAAGATGTCCATGGATGACCAATGTAATAAAATAACATTATAATTATTATACGTGGTGATTGCAAAATAGAATCATTATAATAAAATATGATCTAATAAAACCCTTGGACACATGTTAGCCTCACTCTTCCTTGAACAGAATTAGTGATTTGAACTGAAGTGCTTAGATTATGTAAGAAACAATACGAGCAAATGGTGTAAGAAACTGAGTGTGTCTGGATTCACTTCGGCTTTAACCCAAAGTTTATGCTTTCAAAAACACCCGAAAAAGCAACAAGTGTGATGGATTAAAAAAAAGTATGTTACTTTTGATTTAACGATGACCCAAGCACCTGGAAGCAGAATAAACCAATCCCCCATTACTTTCTAGTTTTACTTAATATATATGAAGTGCAATACTTTCTAGTTTTACTTAATGCTCAATCCTAATAAGAAGACAATCCCATTAATAAAATCAACAAATTATCACATATTTGTAGATCTAAAT